CCCTTCTCTGTTGATAGGTTTCCACAGTCTACAGATCTTGATGAGGACAAACAAGAAGGCAGAGGTATATGTAATATGTTAAATGTATTCACCTTAATAACTGCGTCAGGGCACTTGAAAAAATTGCTGAAAGGTTGCTTATTAAGACGCAACAAAACATAAGCTTTAACATTTTCGGTGGGTAAAGGTTGCTTCTATACATAGAACATAGAATTAAGTTTTAGATCTAAAGTAAACATTACAGTGCATTACTGTATTTTAACTGACTTTACCGTAAGTGTATAGTGCTATAATTTGTTAATGGCGCCGCCCAGGATAGAGATTGTTTGGGAAAGGTGGTGTTAATATCAATTCAATAAGTGCCGAAAAAATAGGAAGGGCACTTTTGAGGGAAAGGCGTTAATTACGTGAATACGGTACATTAAAAACAGCTAACTTAAAATATGTAAAATAAGCAAATTTGATTTGAATTGATTCCTTTCTCCAAACATGGATACATCTTGTGTATAAAATTATTTTTTGCAGTCGGTGGTAATTTGTCAACAACTGAACATTTCAGTTACTTTGCAGCCAAACATAATTTACTTCCTGCTTATAAAATTGTGTAGCCATTATTAACTCCAGTGGTAACTCACAACCCATGTATAAACTCGTTGTATTTTCCAGCCAATGGTAACCTCCTTCCCAAACCTTTACCTGTGGAGGGCATGCCCATGCTGACCCTTCGTATAGAGAAGATCTGTCTAAAGGATGCCCGCCAGTTCATCGATCCCTTCATCACTGTGTCGGTAAAAGGTATAGTATATTGTACAATCAAACCTACCGTACGTAGAGGGGACCTTGATAATCCAGAATGTTTCATCATTACGAAAAGTTTGTAAAGGCCCTGATGTTTGTAGTAATTCAAGCTGACAAGATGAAATACATACCCTATATTCCCTGTCAGATATTTGCCTTTCACTGGTGAAACCCATATTCATGCAGTGTTAATTTCACTCATCACATGTAATTGCTATATCTGGTGCGCTGTGTATTATTAGTATTTGCTTTCAAGATGAATTGGACCTTATAACTGAAAGCAATATAAGTGAAAGTTGAACTGCAGTGTAAAATAATTCTGGAGTACATTGTAGAACTTTATATTTGCAGTCATAACCACGTGGGTCTTTCTTGCTGCAGATCAGCTGTGTTTTGCATCTTTTAATTTGCAATTATCAAAAATACTTTCAGCAACTGCACACAAATCCACATTTGTAAATATCCACTAAAAGATGAAAAGCTATATGTACATAACCATAGTTACTGTAATATGATATCGGGGCACCTCTAATCTACAGACTCTCTGGGAAGCAACCTGATGTCCCCACAGGAAACCCCAGTGGCCACGCGGAAAGAGAGCCAGCAGATCATCTTTAACATGGACGTGTACATACAGAAATGGATTGACAGTCTTCCCACAGGTCTTGTCACATGTTACTACTGCTATCATACATACTTTACTGATGCTATCCTGTTTCTCCAGTTAAAGGCCTCCTCATTGTCACATGTTACTACTGCTATCAGACATACATTACTGATGCTATCCTGTTTCTCCAGTTTAAGGCCTCCTCCTTGAAATTAACTTTCTGGACATATTAGCTTCATCTGCCTGGTTAGATCATAGCTTTTTCATTCATGACCAAACTACTCTTCCATAGGTTTGCATGGGTCTGTAGAAGATATCTTGGGGTCAGATTGAAATCTGAGATGACCTCTACTGACGACTGTCCAAAGTTTTCACCCTGTAGTATGAAACAGATATGCCCCATGTTCCTTACAGTCAGATAGTGTTGTCCCCACTCCTTCCCTGTAAATCTCATTAATACTCTATCCTACTTTTTTTGCAGGCTTTGCCATATTTTTTGAGTTCAAGCACTACAAGCCTAAGAAAGCTACGACCAGTGTCAAGTGTTGGGCGTGTATGGAAAAAGACGAGATCAAAGAGGGAAACGTGGCCCTGGAACTGTACGTAACTCTTAATACCTTAAAACG